TTCGTGCGTTTATTATCGTCATCTGCCTTTTTCCATCCACTGCTGGATGAAGGCTTCTCCAAGACTATTTGCCTGTAAACTGTTTTCTGTGATTTTCATCTTCAGTGATCCAGTGAACTTCTCTTACTCATTCTGTCATCTTCCTTACTTTCTTCCGTGAGGATAGTTTACTCTCACTCTGTACCCACCGTAATATCTTTCTGATCCAGCGATGGTCGATTCTTCTTGCAACGTCGTGTATCCATTGTCATTTCTGGCTACAGTCACATCGCAGACTTGTTTTTACTCTTCCCCGTTCGTCTGTGCTCCTCTTTTCCCTGTTATTCAAAGCATGCGGCTTTCAACACTGGGTTGCATAGTTTGCACATTTTTCAGACTCAGGTTTTCGTCTCGCGTTCACAGTTAGCACTGGGCGCACACAGTGACGTCACACATTCGCTTTAAAGACAAGCAGTTTCAGATGGATGCAGTTTTGTGCCTCTTCAAGCCCAAGTCCGTTGACATCGACAGTTCGCAGGGTCGCGTATTTGTCGAACATGACCTGTGGATTCTACGTTCCTTCTCAGTCCTGCTTTTGTGCTGACGTTGCACAGCTCTTGGATTCTTCTTTGAACTTCCTTTAATGACCTCGAGAAGATTAGAATGTCGTTCGCAGTGCATAGGTGGTTTAAGACAGTGCCAACTTATCTTCAGACCCTTGAAAACCTCTTCTACGGCTGCTGTAAATAAGTTCGATGACATTGCATCACCTTATTAGACGTCCAACGGCTTTTCGTTGCGTCGACAGTTGCATTTTTGATCATGAGGGCAAAGAGGTTACTGTATCTTTCCTCGATTCCGTGCTTCCTCAAGGAATCCAGTGCAATCATGTCTAGGCTGAGCCAAAAGCCTTCACGAAATCGTAAACCTAGGCCAGAGAGGAAGCTGACTGACGTTCATTGTTTGTAATTGCGATGACTATGCTGGTGAAATAGCGAGATCGCATTGTGATTAATCACTAGGCAACATCTTGGATTGCCGAGTAATAGAGTGATACCGCCGTTTTAGCCCTCTTGTATGGCCACTTCTTCAAGGTAAAAGGTGTGTTGTCTGCAGGTATTTCTTTAGTGGTTTCTGAGTTTATTCCAAAGTTTGAGCTGTAGACTTAGAAAGCATCATTAGAGATATTTTAAATCAAGTGTTTTGAAGGCGAAACGCCGAAGTGGACAATTTTGCTAAAGAGGTGAATAAACTGTTTCGCTAACGTATGTATGTACAGCAGGTTCGTTTACAAAGTATGCTTGTAAAAAATCTGAGGCTCGTGGATATTGAAAAAAATATGGCACCTATGTTGTAGTACAGTTCTGAAGTACAAGCTAGAGAGATATTAAGCGTTTCGTAAATGAATGAGTAGAAGAAATTCTACTTCTATGTCATGTCCGAAGTGCTAGTGCTAGAAATACCTGGAAACTCCTGGCTGGAGTAAAGCAATGGTTGCTTCGGTTGTTGTAAATCATCGGATTAGCATATTTCTGGAAAATATATTAACCGACGTTTGTTGAAAGTTCTGAACCAAATGACAGAAAGTTTTTAGATTGCTCCTTCGAAACTTTGGCCAAGGCGAAATCCTACGAGAGCGGTGTCTACCTGGTGAACCCGGTTAACGCGTCGTCAACGTTCCACGTGTACTGCGACATTGATCAGGAAGATGGCGGTTGGACCGTGTTTCAAAGACGTACCGGTGATGAAGTTAGTTTCAAGAAAACATGGGACGAATACGCAAACGGGTTTGGTGATGTGTCAGGCGACCATTGGTTGGGGAACGAGAAAATTCACCTTCTGACCAATCAGTACGAGTATATGTTGAGAATCGAGGTGACGGACATGTTCGACGACGTGTACTTTGCCGAATACGAGCATTTCAGAATATCCGGTCGAGCGGACGGTTACAGACTGGATGTTGGAGATCACATGGGGAATTTGAGCGACGCACTCGTTGACCACAAGGGCATGAGGTTCAGTGCCCCAGATAAAGACCTCGACGCCAGCAGCACGCATTGCGCCAAGTACTACGAGAGCGGATGGTGGTTTTCCCAGTGTCAAAAGGCGAACCTGAACGGGGACTTCAGGATCGGCATCATCTGGTTCGATATAGTGTCAGAAGACTGGATACAACTTAAGCGAACCGTTATGAAGATGAGGCCAATGAAACGTTGTGCCAACTGCTAATTTCCACTGCTATCATCAAAGCTTGAAAAGGAAGTGCTCGCCGTTTATGTGCTGCTGTACGGAGGGTCTGGTCGGTTATATTACGTTTATATTTTGCCTTAATAATTCGTGGTTGTCGAGAATTTTGAATAAATTTTGTTAGGTTACTTGCAGCTAGAAAAACTGACAATTTCTAACTTAACTGAAGAACGAAAGAAATCGCTTCGCATTATTTAAGATATTTCAGGGATATATGCGCTGGTAGGCATACTGAAAAACATTTAAAGCTGCTTATCCTTTTGGGCCTCAAGGGCAGCAGTATCAGACAGTGTTAACCCGAGCCTGGACTAAATGCTGTAGAGGCACGTACTCTAG